TGGGACTTAGTGACAGTTCCTCTCCCACAGGGCTGTTGCCTGCATCAGGGCTGCTCCTCATCTGTGGGCTCCTGGACAGAGTACAGGGGAGGGAATACATGTAGTTGATTAAAGTGGTGAAACTTACATATTACACTAACAGCTGCTAAATGACATCTGGTCTACCCCCTGCACCAAGGACACACCTTCAAAAACAAAACAGAGAGGGAGAGAGGTACCAGGCAACAGCCCACATCAAACGACTGTGGACAGCGCAGATTCTGAATGGATCACTCTTCTATCAAAGCCTGCGGTTCACTCTGGGGAGCTGGGGTCAGAGGCGGGAAGGGGGTGGGTGGCTTTTGACTCATCTGGCCACCATCTGTCAGCTGTTTTCTGAGCAAGTGGGAACACAGGTGAGAAACACTGTTTCTTTCTTCCTCCTCATTGAGGGGAAGAACTGCCCTTCTACAAGTTGCTGTTAAGTGTGAATGTTAGATATTTGAGTCTGGACTTGGGGACCAACATCCAGGCTTGAGATATAAATTTGGGAGTCGTCAGTGAGTAAGTGACATTTAATTATGTGTGACTAAGAGGGGTTCCTAAGGAAGCAGGTGTAGATAGAGAAGAGTTCTGAAGGCTGAGGCTGTACATTCCTACTTGGAAGGTAAGGGCAGGAATCAGCAAAGGTACCAGGGAGGAGCAGGGCTATGTGGTGGCCAGGAGGCCAAGTGAAGGGTGAATTCGAGGATGAGGGAAAGACTCAGGGTGCCAAATGCTGCCCAGAGGCCAAGCCCAGTGTAAACTGAGAACTGGCCACCAGAGCTAGCAATATGGAGATTGTCAGTGATCTATCTTATTCATTTATAGTGCTGGGATAAAAATCTGGTCCACACACAATCTAGGGAAGTGCTTTTCCACTGAGCTGTATCATCAGTCCAGTTGTACAATCCTTTTTTTTTTTTGAGGGGTGTACCTGGGATTGAACTCAGTAGCACTCAATCACTGAGTCTTGTTTGCATTTTATTTAGAGACAGGGTCTCACTGAGTTGCTTAGCACCTCGCTTTTGTTGAGGCTGGCTTTGAATGCAAGATTCTCCTGTCTCAGCCTCCCATGCCACTGGATCAATTGTCTAATCTTGAAAGAGCACTTTTGCTGGGCACAGTGATGCACTCCTGTAACCATTCACTCAGGAGGTTGAGGCAGGAGGATGACAAGTTTGAGGCTAGCAAGACCCTGTCTCAAAATTAAAAAAAAAAAAAGGAAGACTGAGATTTGAGCTCAGTGGTGGTAGAGCACTCTGCGGTCAATCCCCAGTGCTGAAGTGGGGGGAAGGATTTTGGGTGGTGTGGTGAGGGTGATGGCTAATTGAGTGTGTTCAGGAGAGGGTTTAGTGAAGATGGTCCTCTCTAGCATTCAAGCAGAGACATTGGTGGTATCTGGAAGGGAGTTTGGGGTCACATGAGGCTTATTTAATCAAGGAAATCTAACAGTATGTTTCTGTGCTATAAAACAGGAGATTGAGGCGGGTGGGACCCAGAGCACAAGTGGAAGGGGACTAAGGGGCCTGGGTCCTGCAGCGGCAGGGGAGGGGATGCAGGGCTGCTGCAGGCATGAGGAGAGCTGTAGGGTCAGGAGACGTGAACATTCTCTGTTGTGGTCTCAGTAGAGCAGGAAGCTGGGTCACGGGTGACGGGGAGATGCTGGGTTAGGGGACAAGAGATATAAACTTGGGAGTCTTCAGGGTCTCATTGGGGACGGGGAAATGTTGACAAGTAGAGCCAACCTGAGATTGCTGGTGATGAAACTGGAGTGAGGCAGGCCCTGGGGTGTGTTTCTCTGGTCCTGCTTTTGTGAGCAGTGGCCAGCTGGTCTTAGGTGAGGTCCCGCCATGTGTCATGAGATCAGGGTCCACACTGGGCATTATGGGCAAATTAAAAAAATATTTTTAGTTGTAGATGGATACAATGCCTTTATTTTATTCATTCCCACATAATGCCTTTTTAAAAATTCATTTATTTTTATGTGGTGCTGAGTATCAAACCCAGTGCCTCACATGGGCTAGGCAACCTCTCTACCACTGAGCTCCAGCCTCAGCCCATGGTCAGTGTTTTAAAGGAGGTTGAACATGAGCTGTAAGCAGGATTGAGCAGGGAAGGACAGGGGCTGAGTGTCAGGGACATCTGGGGCAGGGGTGAGGAGGGAACTGGGGACAGGGAAGGGAGAGACTAGATCAGGGCAGACAGTGGCATGGTTGGGAATGAACTGGAGAGACAGTTTGAGAGGCAGGATTCAGAGCACTGGGAGGGGAGGGGAGGGGAAGTATAGGGGACACCCAGGTCCCGAGCCCAGGAACCAGATGAAGGTGTGGTTTCACCTAGGATATGGTGGTTGTGGGATGCTCACTGAGTGTAGTGGCTGTTGCTGCTTGTGTCCCAACCCCCAGCCCTTCAGTATGTGACCTTCTCTGAAAATAGGTCATTGGAGATGTCCTTAGTTAAGGTGAGGTCATGCTGCAGTAGGGTGGGCCCTTGATCCCAAATAATTAGTGTCCTTGTAAGAAGAGGACAGAGGGGCTCAGACTGCAGAGGGCTGAGAGGCAGAGGCAGGAGCAGTGCAGCCTCAAGCCAGGGAAGGGCCAAGGCTCTTGGAAGCGGGAGGCCTCCCACATCTTGATCTCAGGTGCCGGCCTCCGGGACCAGGCGTCCATTTGTTTTGTTTGTTGGTTTCTTCTTTCTTCCACTGGAAATTGACCCCAAGGGCACTCTACTGCTGAGCTACATCTCCAGCCCTTTTTATTTTTTCTTTTAAGACAGGGTCTCACTAAGTTGCTGAGGGTCTCCCAAAGTTGCTGAGCTGGCCTTGAACTTGAGTTTCTGTGAGGGTGGATGCATCACTGTGCCTGGCCGGTTCCTTTGTTTGGAACCACTGGGCTTGTGGCACTTTGTGACAACAGCCCTAGGAGACGAATTGCTGGGCTGCAGGCTCCCTGGGAGTCTGGGGGGAGAGGCTAGGGCCTTGGTTCCTCAGCTCCCTGAGTGTCCCCAGTTCTAGTTCAGACAATAATTGTTGAATAAATGACTCAATTCATTACCAAAAAATTTGATGATCGTGATTTGTCTGTCTCCAACCCTGAGCCTCTCCAGGGTGTCCATCACTTCCAGAAATTTCACCTTGGATGCCCCCAGGTACTATGTATCCTCCATTCCCCAGCTGACTCAGCATCTGCCCTTTCTCACTTTTGCAGATCTACACCCCCCCCCCATCCTGAGTCCTGAGTATTTTCCTGAGCACTGAGCATGAGTAGTTCTCCCAAGTACTGAGGACACCATCCATTGCTTTCCATAACCACTGCCCACACCTTGTCAGGGATCAGTCCCTTTAAACTGTCACTCAGTTGAGAGGCCATTGGCCTAGATATGAATCAGAAAGGGGTGCCCTTCCTCCAGTGGGCAGAGCAGGAACAGCAGGACCCCTGCTGGGTGCTCTTGTGTAGGACTCCCCCTGCCCGCCATGCCGGCACCCCAGCTCTGAACTTGGGCTTCTTTTATTTTCCCCCACTGTTTGGTTCCACCTGGGAGTCAGGCTCCTGGGGGCAGAGCTGCGTATTCAGAGGAGCTGTGAGTGGAGGACTTAGCTGGGGTCTTTGGTTCTCCCTGTAACCAGTGTCTGGATGAAGAATCCACAGAGTCCACGGGTGGATTTGAGCGTCTTGAGAACGAACACTAAAGGCCAGGTTCTCTCCAGGGTCAGCAACATCCTGAACTCTCTGCGCGCCCCACCCCGTCCTCCACTCTGATCTTCTGTCCTAGCCAGCTTCCTGCACATTCTGCAAACACACCAGGTTCCCAGTGCCACCTCAGGACCTTTGAACTTGCTCTCCCTCTGCCAGGAATGCCCTCCTCCAGATACTCTGTTGGTCCCGCCTTTCATTTGGACTCTGTTCAGATGTGACCCACTGACCACCACCCTCTTCCATTCTCCCTCTGCTACCCGACCTTGTTGTCCTTCACTGGGCTTCTCACCCTCTAACATTATTTTAGCACCCTCCACTAGAATGTCAGCTCCACGAGGTGACCCTGACCTTGTCTGTTTTGATCCCACTGTTTCCCCAGTGCCCAGAACAGTGGCACCTAAGAGATACCCAATAAATAATTGTGCAACAAGGGAATAGAAACCCAGTGATACTACACGCAGCATTTTGTGCTGGTGTGTGTGTTTCCTGGGAGGGACCATATTTTTCAATACTTCTTCAGAACTATCCAAAAGTCAGGTTTTGCAGGGTGGGATGAGAATCCACAGCCAGGGCATGGAAAGGGAATATGAGGTCAAGGTGGAGGCTGTGGAGGAACTTGGGAACTGGACACCTGTGGACAGGGCTGGAGAGGAGCCCTGCATCCCTTCCCACCCCACCTCCTGCTTCCTGGGATTTGGGGTAAATACAGCTCCTGGGCATCCTCCCCTATCTCCAAGGGCAGGGCCAGGAGACAAGGCAGAAGCACAAGGACTTCAAGGACAAGTCAAAACGATCTTTATTCAACAGAGCTTAATGCCAAGGCCTTCCATTCTGAGCCCAAAAGCAATCAATTTGTTGGGCTGCATTTGTGTAAAATAAATAAATAAATAATAATAAAGAAATAAGCAATTAACTTAAAATCTGACCAGGGCTCTTTTTATTCCCCTTGCAGTTGCCTGGCATGTGGGAGGCCCTGGGTTCCACCCTCAGCACCACATAAAAATAAATAAATAAAGGAATTGTGTCCATCTATAACTAAAAAAATATTACTAAAATAAAACAAAATCTAGGCAGTTGCCATTCCCATCCAGGCACGCAGACTCTTTCCTGTGGGAGCTTTGCAAATTTAACTGTTGGAGGATGAAAAAGTCACCTCTCATGATTTGGGGGTGGGGAGGAGGTGGCAGGGAGATGCATCTCACTGCGGGAACTGGAGTTGGGGACAGCAGCGGAGTGAAATGGGTTGAAGAACGGAGAACAACAAGGGAGCATGAGAGTGTCCGCTCACTGGAAGGCCGCACTCCAGGTAGCCTGGGAAGACACAGGATCCCTCCAGTGTGGTCCAGTCCCTTGCCTCAGCTCCTGGCGATAGGCGATGAGGCAGGGAGGAATGAACAGCGTGGTCCCTGCTGCCTCCGTGGGTCTGCAGGTGCTGAAGGACCAGGGAAGGTGGGTGTGGAGCCAGCGCCCATTCTCAAGTTCTCGGTGGGAGCGTCGGGCCAGCTTGTCACCCACTCCAAATTCTGAGGCCAGTTTGGAGAAGCACACGGGGTCCTGTGGGGCCAGGGATCCGGGGTTCCCCCAGGCCTGGGGCTGAGAAGTCAAAGGAGCAGGGCTAGTGCTACCAGCAGGCCCCAGAAGGACTGAAGTTCTGAGACCTGTGGCCCAGAGACAGCCACGGGGGCGGGCGGGAGTGCTCAGCGCAGGGCTCCTGCGCCAGGCCTGGCTGCCAGCAGCCTCCGTTATTTGGGGATCCAGCAGGGATGGAGTGCTGGGGGCCAGGGATCCCAGGGCTGTGGGAGTGGGAGGGAGGGTGGAGGGACTGGGTGGGGCTGATCCGGGAGGGGTGCGGGGTGCGGGCGGTGGGCACCTCATGGTCCTCAGTGCTTGACCTTGCGGCCGGCTGAGTTGCGTCCACTGCGGCGGTAGAGGGACTGCTGGTTGCCGTTAAGAGGGCAATACTTGAGAGTGTGGGCCTGGCCCCCGGTGGCGCCGCACAGGGGACACACGTAGTGCCTCAGGATGGGACACAGCACCACGCCCTCGGCTGTCTTCAGCTTGTGGGAGGAGTAGACGTGGCGGGACTCCCCGTTGTGCTTGCAGAAGTTGCAGAGGGCAGTCCCCAGCCCCTGATCCTGCCCCAGCTGGGGGCCAGGTCCCTGCTGCTCCAGCTCCTCTGCCTCCAGCCTCTGGCTCCTGCTCTGGGTCAGAGTCAGCACCACCTGGTTCAGGTTGAGGTAGTCCTTCCACATGTCAAAGGGTGGCAGCTCCTGGCAGGGGGCGGCTGGAGGGGGGCTGGGCCTGAGGACCTGTGGGCAGGAGCAGCAGTGTTTTGTGGAGCAAAGGAGCTGCACCCCCTTTTATACTCCCCAGAGCCCCCTTCTAAGCAAAGTGGAGTTTAGATTTAAAGGGCCCACTCCTGCCTATGACCCCCATTTGACTCTGGTCTCCCACGGAGGTCCAGAAGGCGGTCATTTCCAGGTCCTGGTCCTGTTGCCTCTAAGGTGCTGTGAGTCCTCTGCAAAGGCCCTTCCACTCCCTGGGCCTCAGTTTCCCTGTCTGCTCAATTAGGATATATGGTTTTTAATGCCCTGACCATCCTCCTTTCTCCAAGGCTGGAGGGTGATCCCTCTGAATACTCCAGAGCCATTGCTATTCTTTATAACTGTCCCTTACTGTGAGCCAGACACTGGGCGGCACAGTCACCTGCATGATCTGACTTAGTCCTCACAATATTTCCATGAGGGCCACAGTCATGATCTTGTTTTATGGATGCTGACTGAGGCTCTGGAAGGGAAACTCATTGGCCCATGGTCACACAGCATGCAATTGGCAGGAGTGGGCCTGTGGAACTCCAAAGCAAGTCCTTCTTAAACCTTTTTATCAATCCTAAAGTGGAAGCCACTTTTCCCCTCTTGCTATACTGGGAATGAAACCCAGGGCCTTGAGCATGCTAGGCAAGTACTAGACCGCTGAGTTACATTCTGAACTACTTTTGTGTGTGTGTGTGTGTGTGTGCATGTGCTTGTGAATGTATGTGCTCTAGGGATTGAACATAGGGCCTTGCCCATGCTAAGCATGCACTTTACCACTGAGCCACACCTCCAGACCCAGAAGGAGACACTTAGTCAAGGAATATTTATTGGGCATATGCTACAGTGCTCAGTGCACATGATCTCTTTGAATGTCAAGGAGGTGACAACGATTATTTACATTTTATAAAGGAGAAAAAGAGACTGTGAAGTTAAAGAATGTACTTAAGGTCACACAGTAGGGAAGAGGCAGAGTTGAGATTGACACCTATGTCTTATCTCCAGAAACACTGGAGAAGGGGCAGAGGACCCTGGCCGTGAGTTGAGCACAATTTTCCCATAGTTTGGAGAGGGGACAGAGAGCATCATCAATAAGTGCTCAGGAAGCAGCCCCAGGTTCAACCCTGGCTACTCCCTGCAGCTCTGAACAGCTGGTTATTTAACTCTGCCCAGCCTCAGTTTCCTCTTGTGTTGTTCCAAGATGATGTCAGCACCTGCCCCAGAGCACGGACTGCTGTTGTGATCACTAAGTCCCAGCACAGAGCCCGGCCTGGGCCAGGTGCTCATGAAATGGCACGATGGTGACTCAGGCACAATTAATGCAATAAGCCTAGGGACTCCCTTGCTGAAGGTCTCCTTGGGGCCAGTCCCATGCCCAGGGCTCTCATTGAACACCCCTTCCCCAGACCCTGGGAAGGAGGGTCTATTAAAAGTCCCATTGCACAGAGAGCTTGTCCCAAGTCATATATGGTCAGTAAGTGGTAAGGTGCAGCCAGGGCTGTCTGTCTCCAAACCCAGGCATCCTCCTGTCCCCTGTGAGTCTGCTGTGAGCCAAATGTAAGTGATCAGGGACAGCAGCAGAGCTTGGAGTGTCCTGCCTCATACAGGCAGAGACTGAGGTGGGACACCAGGGAGTGGGTGGTATCTGAGCCACACAGCTTTTACCGAGAAAAAGGAGAGCTGTTGGTCACTGATGGATGTCCTTGAAGGAAGCGTCCATGGTCTGCAGTGTGGAAGAATGAAGGGGACCCAGACAGGCATGGGTGTCCCATGCCAAGCACTTTGTTTAAGGTCATAGCAGTGACCTCTTCAACTCAGGGTTGAGCTATCTGGGTGCCTAGGGCCTGGCCCCTGCGACCCAGTGACCATTACTGCAGCTGTGCTGGGAAGACTGATGGGGTGGGTTTGAGGTCCCCGACTCCCCTGAACAAGGACACAGACTGGAGAATCCCAGATTCCGGGGCCCTCCCCGTGGGTTTCCTCCCCCACTCCCCTTTCTCTTCCATTTCTTCCCCCCCTGATTGTTTACTTCCAGACTCTGTTCTGGGGCTCCTCTGCCCTGCCTCCCTCTCCGATGTTTTTCTGGGGGAGTTAATTGGACCAGCCTCTCCACAGCGCTTTTTCTGCTGGGCCCGCAGCTCTGGGAACCCAGAGGGCCCACTGCTGGCCGCCCACGCCGTCTGGTTACTCCTGAGTTTGCTCTGGGCTTGACGCCAGCTGAAAATAGCCCCTGGGGTTCAGAGAGGCGTGGGAGGGGCTGAGGTTAGAAATCCTGGGAGCAGGGAGAGACAACACCAGCCAAGACTTGCAAAGACCGCAAAGGTGTTCATCATCGTTACTGTCCTTGTCCCTGTGGCTGGCCTGTGGAGTCTCATTGTGACAAACTTGTGGTGCTGTAATAGTCCCATCCTACAGAGGAAAAAACTGAGGCCAAGAAAAGAGCTTTCTCATTGATGCAGTCATCCATTTCCTTCACTCTTTCTTTTTTGTTGTTGTTGTACTGGAGATTGAACCCAGGGGTGCTTAACCGTGAGCCACATCCCCAGTCTTTTTTTTCTGTTTTGTTTAGAGACAGGGTCTTGCTCAGTTGCTGAGGCTGGCTTTGAATTTGTGACCCTCCTCTGAGCCTGCGGAGCTCAGGGATTACAGGTGTGTGCCACTGGCAGACCTCATCCCTTTCGTCTTAGCCCAGGGCTGTAGAGAGAAGGGACACTTTCACACAGTGAATCCGGAGACCTGCAGCTGCAGAAGGGAGAAAACAAGAGTAAGGTGTTACACGGGGTGGAGACCGTGCGTGGCCGCTGCAGCCATGGGGCTGGTCCCCTCCTGGCTCTGCCACCTCCACTGTGTGGCTGTGGGCAAGTGATGCCGGCCCAGTGGTCTGTTTCCCCCATTTCACAAAAAGGAAGATTATTGTAGATCCCCTGTTAGGAGACCGCCCGAGGATGACACCCAACACTGGTGAAGACACTAGAACAGGTACACAGTGAGCGCTCACTTATTTTATTGTTAAATACTGGAGGTTGAACCCAAGGGCACTGCCTGCTAAGCTACATCCAGTCATTATTATTATTTTGTTACAAAGTCTTGCTAAATTTCCCAGACTGGCCTTGAATATGCCATCCCCCTGCCTCAGCCTCCTGAGTTCCTGGGATGGCTTGGCTGCTATTTTTTTTAAATTTTTATTTTTTAGTTGTACATGGACACAATCTCTTTATATTATTTATTTATTTTTATGTGGCACTGAGGATCGAACCCAGCGCCTCACACGTGCTAGGCAAGTGCTCTGCCACTGAGCCCCAGCCCCTGGGCTGTTATTTTTAATTGTATTCTCTCATAACAGTTCACTGAAGAGCTGTAAGTGGAGAGATGGAGATTGTGGGGGCTCAGAGAGGTGGGAAAATATTTGCTCGTTCAACAAATATTTACTGAATACCTGATGTGTGTCTAGCATTTTTAGAGGTGCTGAAGATGCACCCATGAATATGGGCAAAAATCCCTGCCCCCTCAGAGTTAAGTTAAATAGCAAATAATATAGACAGATGAAGAAAAATAGGCTGAGCTATGGAGGAAAAATAAAGGGGGGGGGGGCGGGGTACAGTGGCACTTACCTGCAATCTGGGCAGTTTGGAAGGCTGACTGAGTGGCTTGGGAGGCTGAGGTAGGAGGATTGTAAGTTTAAAGTCAGCCTCAGCAATGGTGAATTAGTAAGCAACTCAGTGAGACCCTGTATCTAAAAAAGTATAAAATAGGGCTGTGGAGAGACCTTTTTTTAGAGACCCTGTCTCTAAAAAAAATATAAAATAGGCTCAGTGGTCAAGTGCCCCTAAATTCAATCTCCAGTACCCAATAAATCAATGAATAAAAATAAAGAGGAATAGGATCATAGGGTGGATGGGGAGGCCTCTTGGAGGAGGTGACATTGGAGGAGAATTTTTTAAAATTATTTTTATTTAATTTATTTATATGTGGTGCTATAGATTGAACCAAGTGCCTCATACATGTACTCAAATGCTCAACCCCTGAGCTATAACCCCAGCCCCAGAGGAGAATCTTAAAGGGCATGAGAGGAGCCTTGCAGTGCCTTGGGGTTGGCACTTGGCTAGTGTGTTCAGGGGTCATCAAGGGGGCCAGGGTGGGGGAGTCGGGGAGAGGTTATAGAGGGAGAAAATTATTCCTGTTTCCCAGATGAGGAAATTGAGGCTTGGTAGCTGATGTCACTTGGCTCATGTGATACAAGATCACAGCTGGGGTTTAAACCAGTGACTGTCCAAGTCTCCTGGGTGCCTGTGAAGAATCTTGGTCTGTGTGCATCTGCCTGCACGCCCGCCTTCCTCCACAGGGGTTGGGGGCTTGTAATTGTGATTCCTTTTCCCCACCCCCAATTCTGATGTATCCAGGTCTGGGCTGGGGTTTCTCAGTTACTGCTTTGTCCCCAGCACAGGGCCTGGGTAACACCCACTGTCAGCTTACAGAGGTGAATGTTGAACAAACGAACAAATGAATGAATGTCAAGCTGAAGATTTTGGACTATGTGCTGAGCAGGCCACTGGGGAGCCAAAGAGGGTTTTCAAGTGGGGGACCATGGTCTTACCTGAGCTTTGGAAGACACTCCCCACTTCCTGTCCATTCTGGGTTCTTGCATGTGTGCTCCTCCTGTGTGAAATGCTCCTGCCCACTCCTTTCTGCTGTTCTTCAAACATCAGCTGGGAAGCCCCCTCCTGTCCTCCAGGAAGCCCTCCTGGTCTTCAGGCTGGGTCAGCCCCCACGCCCCCTCCACATGCCTCCTCCATCCCCGTCCTGAGCACTCTAGGCTATCACTGTCTGGGGACGGGTTTGTCTTCCCCCACAAGTGCCCCCTGAGGACAGAGTCAGTAGTATCTTGTTCATGGCTGTGTCCCCAGAACTGCCCTGCACAGGGCTGGGCACTCAGAGAAACCTTCTTTGGAAAAATGAATGAGACCAAAACTGGGGCAGAAGAGGGGAGGGACTAACCACTGCAGCCCGGGCTCGGAGCCTTCCTCCAAGGCAGCTCCTTCCTCTGAGGAAGCCTTATTTTGAGCTACTTTGTGCTTTATTGCAACCACCCAGAGTCCTAGACAGCAAAATTAAGTAGACGAGGATGGAAATGGGGACACTGGGAGGAGGAGACATATTTGGTGGAGACCACAACTCCGCTTCTCCTGATTCTGGTGATTTGGTGTATCTGTGGGTTTTTTCCTTTTAGTGGGCGGGGAGCACTGTGGATTGAGCCGGGGGCTTGCCCTTGGCCCTCTGCCCCTGAGCTACACCCCAGTCTTAGCTTTATTTCTTAAACTCCCCAGATCTAATGTTTTTGTCAGTCGTACTGTTATTTGCTTTTGTGGTGCTGGGGTCCAATGCAGGCTCCTGAATGCTAGC